GCTTCACATTTGTTTCCTTACGTATGCAGGTGCAACAGATCGCTAATGGCCTCAACCTCACGGGATCAGACCCTCTTTCCGTACAGGTAGATTTTTACGTCTACAGTAAATAAATAAATAGGTGTTGCTTTCATAAGGTAGGTAAAAATTGGAATGCTAATGTTGCAGCTTTTAATTCACCATACTATCATGATATAACTAAAGAATAAGCTTCTAATACAGTTTTTCCCTATTCTTCTCAATTGTGAAATTGAGTTTTCCCAATTTCTTAATTAGTTTTTTTTGTTCATACCCTTTTTTCCCACTTTCAAATTCGAAACTTATTTTTTCTTCTTCAGATTTAAATTCATCATTTTGTATGATTATTTTCTTCATAGCCTTAGTAATATATTTTCATAAGAAATATTTTTTTTTTTTTAAAATGTTTCGATGATTCAAAAGATTCAGATTTAAATTTTTTTAATATTATATAATTTAGATTAAAATTGTCAAAGCAAAAATATATTCAAAAGTGTGGAGGCTAAAAATACTCAAAACATATTACAGCCTATGTGTGGAGCTCGATATGGCCCAATGTCACCATAGGCCATGACAATAACAAATCGTGTTGCATCTGTTTTATATTATACTACCTTCTTAACAATTACTTAAGCAATAAAATAAAAGATAATATTTTACACAAATTAGTAAAAATGGGTTGAAGACATTCATGACACTTCTTTATTTTCTCTTTTTTAATTCGGCAATTAATTTTGGTGTGACGAAGCTTGGGTAAAGCCGTAAAGATAGCATGATATTTTACTTGAATAGTTTTGCAACTTATGATCAACGTTAGCACATTAAGATGAAAACTATTTACTACTACATTATGTTGGGAGAAGATAAAAGTATATCAAAATTTGATTTTTTTATTTATTTTGAAATATGAGTTATTGGGGGAAACAAAAAATGTATAACTAACAAATATTTTCTTTTACTTTCGTGTATTTCAGCTTATTTTAATCACACCATTTTAAGATTTTCAATGGTACTGATAAAATTCTCTTTATGCCCCTATTTAAATTTTTTTTTTTTTTTCCATTTTATCTTTGAAACAGTTCATTTTTAATTAATAATTATTAACTAAATATAAAATATTATAAAACCTAAATTATAGTTTTCTGCTATCATAACATATTTGGGACGCTAATGATGGAGAGTGACCATACTTTAATAAATGGGTGGTCCATTTTTTAAGCACTTGAAAAGTAATCTCCACTTACCAATCTATTGAAATATGATGAATAAATATCATTTCCCAATAACACAATTAAAATTTAATTAAAAGTGTGAAGTTATTAGCACCCTATTAATCGATTAAGAAGTCCCATTTCTGAAGAAACCTTATTTTAAAATTTTAAAATTAAATCTTTGCTCATGTCATCTTTAAATTCCATGAATGCTCTTCATTTTTTTTTTTTTAATATGTTTTTTAAAAGAACTAACATTTCATTCCCTTCACTTATGCTTTATACCCTATTATCATTATTTCTAAAATAAAATTTTAAATAATTAGATAAAAGTTCAGAAAAAAATTAGAGCTAAAATTACCAAAAAAAAAAAAAAAATGTGACTACCAATACTATGAAGAACAAATAACAATAAATTTAAATGTTAAGCAATTAAAAACTTACAATTCTAAAATAATGTGAATAACAAAATAATAATAATAATTAGAGTTTACGAGCTAATAGTAGTGTGTCAAAAGTATTTGTAAAAAATAAGAAATTAAAATTAGTTTTAATAATTGAATATAAGGACAAATTTATCATTAAAAAATTTATTAAAAAGTGTGGATTTTTTAATCCACTCTAATTAAAAATAAAAGCCCAATCGTCAGCCTGAGCAAGACTCTTGGACGCCCCATGAACCATGTTGGGCCATAGCGCATAACTATATGAAAGGGAGTGATTTTTTTTCCCCACCCCTCAGTAGTTCCCAATACTTCAATAAAATTGTAATAATATAATAATAAAAAACAGTAAATACAAAGTCTGTTTTACATCTGCTATTACCATTGTTACCCCAATCTTTCATCTTTCCCAATATAAATTTATGTTAAAATTTCTTTAAAACATTTTTAATCAAGATTTATTTAGTATTCTCAGTCACAAAATTGAGACACACTAACTGAACTATTTCTAATAAGATGATACGTACGATTTTTCAATATAAATATATAGAATATTTAATATTATTTATAATATAAATTTCGACAATGTTATCAAGATTAATATGCCCTTGTTAGCTACAATCACATATATTAGGAAATCAGAATCAATAAACACCTATACTTTTGAGTTTAATATAATGAACTCAAACAACTTTTTTTTTTTTTTATAATAGAAACCCATCCCGATAAGGTAATTAAAAAAAGTTTTACTAGTAATGAATTTTTTGAATTCATTGATTCTTAAAAAATCAATCCCTAAAATAAATACCAGATAAATTGTAATTCTATTACAAGTTTGAGAAGACATCCTCACTTTCTTTTATGCCACGCAACTCCTAATTCTACTTCAAACAAAGAAACTACTTGGAAATCCTTTTTAATTTTTTGTTAATTTTCTTATCCAAATTACCTTATGTTAGCAAAATTATGTTATAAATGACAACAACAATATTTTCCTTATGTTTTAAGGTTGTAGAGAATAGTATAAATAAGGGACATTATTTGATTTTCTTCTCATATCTTTGTTCTCTAACTCTCACTCACAGCTTACAAATCAAAACACACAAACACCAACTAGAAATACAAAGGATGAATTTGATGTTCAGTTTATTTGATACGTTCTGTGCTGGTTGCTTGAGCCCAAAACGAGAGCGAGCCTTTTTGATTTGTGCAACCAACGAGAGTAACAATATGCAAGTTCAGTCACAGGATTATTCAAGTAGTAATCTTAAGTTGAAAAAGAAACAAGAGGGTCACACATCATCGAAGACGAGTCGTGGGAAGCCCATGTTTTCACCAAAGTTGGATGGACTACACTGTTTTGAAACCCTCGTCTTCTATAAATAATTTATGTAAGGAAAAAGTAAATGATTAGATATATCAAAAATCTTTTTTGAATTATTTTCTGTTATTTTATTCATTTATTGATTAATGATTTTAATTTGTTCTAAAGACTTGCTTTAATTAATTGATCAATTAGTAGATATCATGATAAGTATTTAATTTCTTGGTTTTCAACTAATATCCTTTATTTGAAAGCACCTTTTATTTGTTATTCTATTTGTTAATTTTGATTCCATGACAAAACGAACAAAAAAAATCACCCCCCAAACCTAGCTTGTCTGAAGGAGTCAAGGAGATATATGATTTTAGTTCTTAATTACAAGAAATCTTATCAACCAACTTTGACAAACTTCTGTTTAGCCTCTGTAAACATAAAATTTAATTTGAACAGTTCATAATTCACTAAAAAACTACTTGGTGGGGAGCAAATCTAACTTTTGTCCAACCCAATTATTTTAATTCACTAAAAAATTACTTGATAGTAGACCATTAATTGACCATTGTCATATTTTACCAAACAATTGGTGTTCTTAGGGCTGGTTAATGAAACGAGCCGCTCGCGAGTCGGCTCAGCTCGGCTCGAGTCTGGCTTGGTTCGTATGGTTTCAAGCCGACTCAACTCGGTTCGTGAGAGAGATCGAGCCGAGTTCAAGCCTACCTCAGCTCAACTCGTTAGGCTTGTGAGCCAAGCTTGGCTTAAATAAGTGGGGGTGTTTTTGGGGGTTTACTAAAATATGGGGGATTACACTAAAAATTTCAAAACAAAAAGTTTTCAAAAATGGAAAAGACCCCCCCGATTTTAAAATCCCTAAAATCATCGACATTAACTATTCGCCTTAAAATCAAACCAAATCCAAAAATTGTCAACACATTTTCCAGCCATCTCCGGTGTACCTCGTCATCGTCGTCAATACCATCTGCTTCACCAGAGTGTTGTCACAGACTCGTTGCCGTCGAACCCATCTACCCCTTTAACTCTCGCCGTGAAACACTGAAATCTGCTTGTTTTCCTTTTCTGTCCTCGCCGTAAAACCCAATTGCTCCGTCATCGACCATCATCTTGTTCGCAGTAAGTTTGATTGCTTTGAATCTTGTTGAGTAGTTGTTACTTGTGTATGATTGATTTTTGTGAAACCCATTAGCTTCTCATGATTTTTGTAAACTCTTTGCTATAACAGGTGGTTTTTTCTAGTGAAACCGATTTTGTATTGATTGTGTTGTTGTCGTTGACCGGCGTGGTGTCACCGTGTACTCCATTGGAGCCAAACAAAGTTGCTTATAGCATAGTGATGGAGGTTCTTGGACATTGTGGCTATCTTGAAGAAGCAAAAACAGTTTTTGCTGAGATGAGAAGGAAAAACTGGGTGCCGGATGAACCAGTTTATGGGCTTTTAGTAGATTTATGGGGAAAGACTAGTAACGTTAGAAAGGCTTGGGAGTGGTATCAGGCCATGCTCCTTGCGGGTCTGCACCCTAATGTGATGAAATTAATTCAGAGATGAAAGAATGATGTTGAATTCATTTTGAATTAAGAAACAGAGTTACAATAGTGTATGTTTTATATAGAGCAATCCTATAACAATCTTAACAAACATTAACTAACTCAACTGATTAACTAACTTCATAACAAACTAACAACTAACTTCTTCTTTATTCTTCAACATCCCCCCGTAAGCTGGAGAATGGATGCTAAGCATTCCCAACTTAGATAAATTGGTATGAAATTGAGCAGGGGCAGAGCTTTCGTGAACAAGTCAGCTAACTGATCTGAAGAAGAGCATGGCATGAGATGAATCAAACCGTCTTGAGCTTTCTGCCTTACAATATGACAGTCAATTTCAATGTGTTTGGTACATTCATGGAAGGTAGGATTGGCAGCAATCTGAAGAGCTGACTTGTTGTCACAAAAAAGGAGAGCTGAACCTGAGTGAGTGACGCGAAGATCCTACAGCAAGTAATGAATCCATTGAATTTCACATGTTGTGGATGCAAGGGCACGGTATTCAGCCTCAAATGAAGAACGAGAGACAATGGATTGCTTCTTGGCACGCCAACTGATCAAGGAAGAGCCAAGGAAAACACAGGAACCTGTGATAGATTTCCGTGTATCAGAACATCCAACCCAATCGGAATCACTGAAAGCTTTGAGAGAAAGAGATGATTCAGCTGGAAAAAATAAACCATTAGCAGGATAACTCTTTATATATCGAAGAACATGATTAGCAGCTTGTTGGTGAACCGATGTAGGCTTGTCAAGGAACTGATTAAGTTGTTGAATGGCAAAGGACAAATCAGGCCGTGTAGAAGTCAAATATAATAATCTACCAACCAGTCTTCTATAAGAGGAAGGTGAAAGACCAGCATGCATGCATGAAGAGTGGTGGAAATGGAGAAGAAAGCATGAAAAGTATGGATTAAAAAAAAAACATTTTTCATGCAAAGCTTGAAAAGAGATTATACCTACTCCTTTGCTTTGGATTGATGAAGATTAGCCTCAAAAGGATGAAACCTCCACACTTTAACACCACCTTGAGAGATTAGAGAGTGGTCGTGGGTTTGAGAGAGAGTTTTAGTTTGTTTTTGAGTGAACAAGTGAAGAATGAACTAAAATGCAACCTTTTGCATTTATATATACTTGGGCAATTTTGCAATTATTTATTTTTCACTTCCAAGCCCAATAAAATCTTATTTTAAAAAGGGACCCCACGAATTTATTATGCTACCCTTTGAATAATCAATATTATTCAAGGGCCCATGTAAACTAAACTAGTTTACATTAACACCCATAAATTTACCCTTTTACCCTTTAACTATTAAAGGTTATTTTTGTTCTCTCATTAATCTTAACACTTTAATATAATAATTAAATATATTATTATTGCTTGACCATTTTAACCCTTAAAATGTCACAAATATTTCTATGTAACTATTACTATAAAATCCCGTTATTACCCTCGGAGGTGCTAGCCCTCTTCGATAATCATTTCTCTCTCTCATCCTTCTCTAACTTCTCAAGGCTATTGGTGTGACCATGTAGGTCCACCGTGGATTAGCCGTGAGTGGTTCTAGATGAATCCGAAACCGTCCGGAGGCCCAACGACTATGGTAAACATCTAGCAATGTGCCATAGTCCCTAAACCACGATGAAGAAATACTTCATCGAACCCATTTCAGATCATACGTACATGCAGGTAAAGTCCCTCTATTGAGATATCCTGATCGAGCACGGATTCATGGAATGTCAAAATCCTAAACTCTTCTTCTACCGAATCGTCGATCAATATGTCCGAACTCGTCATTACAAACTTGCTTTGTATGACTAATAATAGACTCTAGCCAGAGATTCTGATTTTCGACATTTATCGACGTTCGTCTAGGAACTCGAATCTGGATGGAGTCAGCGGTACTCCCATCCTATATTTTCGAGTCAATGGATCCCCTCTTGACCATCGTTCGTTTCCGCATATGAACAACGCATGACCAATAGGCTTTATTTACAAACATGATTAGTCTCGTACTTATACACCTTATGAACCTACACATCATATCGGATCCGACACAATTCTCAGGTCAAGGACTACATCGTGCACTGATATAACCAAACGATAAATCATTGACTACATGCTTTCCAAGTGATTTGCCGTTATTCGGTCACATTCGAAAAACAGTTCACCAACCGTTAATCCATACCAATGCCCCAGTGACATGACTATCATCGTCATCCGTACTTATATCAACTCATGATATCTTTCGGAAGCATCCGATATGCCTACTGTGCAATAATTGCCCAAATTAAATTGCGTCCGTAGGGAACCCTTTTCGATAATTCATTTACCGATTAAATAAATCATCTAGACAATTCATATACATACTTTATTTTAAATGCATGACTGAATAAAGGAAGTAATTTATATATATGAATTGAAGAACTCTTTCTTCTATTATTTATGATATATATAGATACAAGACAAAATGCTCTGAAACCGACAACACGAATGGTTCTAGGGCATACACTAATATACACTAACAGAAGGATCAGATAAAAGGTTACCAATAGCTTGAGTGAGTTTACAAGTGTAGTCCATTGGAGTTTTGGCAGGTTTACAAGCCAAATAGCCAGCATCAGAAAGAATGTCAAGAGCATATTTTCTTTGGCATAATGCAATACCAGACTGGGAATGAGCCACCTCTAAGCCAAGAAAATATTTTAAATCACCAAGATCCTTAATCTGAAAAGTATTATCTAAATAAGCTTTGACAGCATCAATCTCCTATAAATTGTTACCTGCTAATATAACATCATCTACATATACTAGCAACACCGTTATAGAAGAGGCAGAATATTTAACAAAGAGAGAATAATATGATGAAGATTATGTGTAACCCAAAGAAATCAAGGCAAAAGTAAGCTTGGAGAACCATTGTCTACTGGCCTGTTTAAGTCCATAAAGAGACTTTTGGAGCTTGCAAACTTTGCTAGGATTTAAAGAATTAAAACCAGGAGGTAATACCATATATACTTCTTCAAGTAAATCACTAAGGAGAAAATCGTTGTTGACATCAATTTGCTTAAGATGCCAATGAGAAGCAGCAGCCAAAGCAAGAAGCAATATGACAGTTGTAATTTTGGTGACCAGTGAGAATGTATCAAAATAGTCTATACCCTCGGTTTGGGTATAACCTTTGGCTACTAACCGAGCCTTGTAACGCTCTACTGAACCATCTGCTTTATGCTTAACACGGAACACCCATTTGCAACCAATTGGGGACTTGCCAGTAGGGAGATCTGTGAGTGTCCAAGTTTGATTCTGCTCAAGGGCAGTAATTTCTGCTTGCATGGCTTGTCTCCGACAGTCATGTTTAATGGCTTGTGCATAAGTCTTAGGTTCAAATGTAGTTGAAACAGCTAATGTAAAATGAAACTAATTTGGTGAAAGTTTGGAATAAGAGAGAACAGAAGATAAGGGATAAGTAGTACTTGACTGAGGGAACGAAGTTTCAGGTGCAGTGACCATATTGCAATGATAATCTTTTAAGTATGAAGGAGGCTTTCTCAATCTTTGAGAGGTACGGTCAGGTGGTATAACAGGAGAAGGGACAGATGAATCAGCAGGGGAAATGTTATCAGGTGGTAATGACAGTGATGTAGATAAGGAGGTGTCATTAGGAGGACAAGGATCTGAGTAAAAAAAGATTGAATTTTGAGGTAAGGGTACTGAATGATCTGCCGGTTTGGAAAAAGGGAAAATGTATTCGTAAAAGAAGACATTACGAGAGAGAAAAATGTCTCTAGAATGCATGTCTAATAGAACAAATCCTTTAGTACCAGATGGGAATCCTAAGAAAAGACATTTCCTAACTCTAAAATCAAATTTGGTTCTGTGAGCCTGTAAAGTGGAAGCAAAACACAAGCAGCCAAATATTTTTAATGAATCATAATGAGGAGATTTATGATATAAAAGTTCAAATGGTGATCTATTTTGCAAGATAGGAGAAGGAAGTCTATTGATGAGGTGAATAGCATGAAGTACTGCATAGGTCCAATATTCTTTGGGCAATTTAGACTGAAATAGTAAGGATCTAGCAACATTCAGGATGTGCTGGTGTTTGTGTTCCACCACACCATTTTGTTAAGGTGTCTCAACACAAGTTGTTTGATGATAGGCTCCTTTTGAGGCATAGAAATGAGGCATTATAAATTCAGCACCATTATCAGTGCGAATGGTTTTATTTTAGCTGAAAATTGAGTTTCTATGAGAGCAAAAAATGACTGAACAAGCTGCCTAACTTCAGATTTTTGTTTGATCAAGTAAATCCATGTAAATCTAGAATAGTCATCCACAATAGTTAAGAAAAATCGATGACCATGAACAGAACATATTGAGTAGGGACCCCAAATATCAACATGAATCATATCAAAGCATTTAGAAGTTTTGGAATGACTCATAAGAAAGGGTAACCTTGGTTGTTTTGCCAAATGACAAATGGTACAAGCTTTATTGTCATGATATTTAAGGCTAGGAATACAAGAAGCTAAGTATTTTATTCTAGAATCAGATATGTGGCCAAGTCTATAATGCCAAATATCAAACAATGTAGTACTTGATGCTAAAGAGACAGACGCAGATTGTAAAGGGCTGGCTGTAGAAACAGGAGATTTTGTCATTGCATATAGGCCATCATGCACTTTAGCTGAACCAATCGTTTTCCACAAAGTCAAATCTTGGATTAAACAATAAGAATGTTGGAAGATCAGGCAACAATTTAGTGAGGAGGTTAATTTGGTAGTAGATATCAGATTAAAAGAAAATTCAGGAATATAAAGTACATTTGTAAGAACCAATTTTTCAATGAGACTTACAACCCTAGAATATTGAGCAGTGATTTTGGAACCATTTGGTAATATGACTAAGATTGGTTTGATTTGCTTATAACTATCAAAGGAAGACAAAGAATGTGCAATGCGATCTGTTACACCTGTATCTACAATCCATAATGAAGATTTAGAACAGGTTAAAGCAAAATGGTTATCTGGAGCTGAAGAAAAATGAGATGTAAGGGTTGACTGAGGTTGAGAAACAACAACTTGGTTAGTCACATGAGATGATTGCTCAGAATCGGATGATTGGAGCAAAGCAAGCAATTGATGATATTGATCTTGAGTCAAAGAAACACCAGAATCTTCTTGATTATTGACAGAAGCATCCGACTGCATAGGAAGATCTGTGCCATTTTCCTCTACAGTTACATTATGAGCAATGGGATTATTGTTAAAGTAGATGCCCTAGAGTCAATCAATTATTGTAGAATTGACTCTTTGTAATAATGTTTATTAATCAATAAAAGGCATTTTATTCTATATCGCGTAAATCATTATTATTGCAATATGTTTTGATATATGTCCTTAGAATGGTAGAATCGTGACGAGGGTATCAAGTGTTTCAAATCTTGATAGTGAGAACCCTATGAGCACAAATAGTGGCCATTCTAGAAACGTCCTTAGCCCTAGTATTATTCTAAAGTAAGGGAACAGATAATACGGTAAGGCTATCATAGTGTTGAGCGACCCTGTCGAAAGGCAGTGACTGATCTCACTTGTCAAGGTTGTTTGGTGACAACCTGGTGCAACACATGGGTGCTTGCTGTAGGTGGATATACCGCAGCAAGTTCACTGGACTGGCCCACTAGAGGATTCCATATAGATGGTAACCCTAGTGTCTATGGAACAAATCCTCTAACAAATGGTGATGCATGTGATCCTTAGACTTGAGATCACCGGAGCGCCTTGTGCACCGATTGGTGCAGTTTGAACTAGCCTAACGCAGTTCTATTTAAAGCTGTCAATACAGTGGTGATTGGCTGCATCAA